AAACTTTACAGGATTGATCTGTAGCTCAAGTCCTTGCGCATATTGCACGGGTTTTCTGGTTGAATGATTTTTGGCCGAGTTATGGCCCTTTGATAAAAAGGTGTTTTTTTCTGTGTGTTGCCAGATACGCAAAAGCTTGTCTGGACTACTCCTCATAAACTACTTGTGCAATTTCATCCAAACTTTACAGGAATGATCAGTACCAAGTCTAGTTGTGCACTGTCCGTCTGTCTGTCCGTCTGTCACAAAATTTGTCCCAACATGAAATTGGCCATCATGAGGCGACACATGTGATTACTGATCGCTCTTGTTTAACACATTTGTTTATATAACTCCGAAAAGTAATCGAATTGTTATTGAAAATACGTCAAATCTTCAAAATCATCTTTTAAATTGCATCAAATAATCACTGATCCAGGTTCGAACATTGCAAACTTTTCATATGACCAGCTGTCAAGCAAGTTCGAGCAAACTTGTGAATCTAATGCACTGCGGAACAGAACATTGTCCTCATTTTGAGAAAAGCTGAACTTTCTGTGTGTCGTTTACAGTTAAAAAGTTAAATGTGAATCCTTACATATCCAGTTTGATTTCTTTTGTGTGCACTGTCACTCTGCTCGAGAAGGAAGGTGATTATTTTAAATGGTCTTTACAACATCTGTTGAACGAACACTGTTTGCACACAGTCTGATTATCTATATAAGTCTCCTACAATACAAGAGTTATGAAGCCTATAAAATGAGTTGTCATGGTCCGTGCGTAATTTAATTTTCATATTTCTCGGGAAAATATATAAAATACACCTTAAGTATGAAAGCATACACATTACTAAAGACACGTTGTTGGGTGACGCAAGTAGAATGAGGACACCAAATCGTAAAACCAGCAAAATGACATAAAATATCGTCGTAAATGGTGATACAGTATCATAATATGGTATTATTTTTTATTGTATAGGCAGATTTTTATCATCGAGTACGTATTTTCACGTACAACTTAGATTATCGGAAATAAGACTTCTCATTCATTAGTATGATAATCATTCCATTCCTGATATCACCATAAATTATCAGATAAACGGGTTTCGGTGTCAAATGTCAACATTCTAAGGTCATACAATGTCAAAAATCCTACAAGAAAACAGAGGTCCAAAGAAAATAGAATAGGAATGGCGGAAAACTGTTGTTACCTAATTGCACAATTGAAAGCATGAATTGTACGTCAAATCTGCGCATAAAAACGCATTATTGGCTGGTTTAAGACAACAAATATGTCGCGGAAGCTAAGATTTCGGTTTATGATCGTGCACTTTTAGTTGCAGCAAATCCGATTACCATTGCGTTGTTCAGTCTACAACGATATATGTCATAAAAGTAGTGTAATAAACATTTGTTATTTCCCACGTTTGCAAGGTTAAACAATTGTTATATTAAAAAAGAAGTTGTGTGCGTATGAAAACGCATAAGTACATTAGGGACATCTTGACCGGTGAATTTTAACCACCTTTATTAACCATCCATATGACGCGCTCATTAAGATAACAACAACAATAGCAGCACCTCCACCAAAAAACAACAACAACAACAACAAAAACACTCAACTTTTTTAGGCGTAAAATTGTGGTTTTACTCCGATTCGACCTCCTGTCGACAGTTAAGACTGTCTTGTTTTCTGTAATGTAACTTCTGCATTTTATAATTATTTATATATTACGAAGGGAAACAATTTTCACACTATTTAAAATGATATAACATTGTTTATTACCTGCCTGTTTAAGTAAGATGTATTAATAGGCACAATGTTATTAATTTTCTCACACCGTTAAAATGTCGCACAAATGAGCCTAGAAATTGTGCTTCTAACGATACTAGTATATTGCAATGAATTAATTGGGTCTTCTATAATAATGCCGTTTATAAATGTGACAATTTGTCCACACAATCCGGATCTTTTTCTTAGTTCTTTGGCCTATTCGTTGTCGTATTGAATAATTCACATAACATTGTGAAATTCATTATAATGAGATTTCGGGCATACCTTTTTCTGGTTTTGATAACAACATGCATAATATAACCGAAACTCGACTGCTCTTGCGTGATTATAGTTGAGTTGTGTGATAACGCTTTGTCACGTATTTATAAAACATCGTTGAAATGTTACTATATAAAAGCCTGTCTTGAAACATCCAAATATTCTGTCAAGTTACTAGTATTGGAATGAAATTTTCTACAGTTATAATAAACAATATGCAATGTTATTTCCCAAATCTGAGCATTAAAATTGTATTTTTTCTGTCTTGGTAGGAGACCACAAATACCCAATCCCTTGCGAGTTGCAGATTACAAGTCGAGTTGTCGTTGATGCCTTATTAGAACTACTTTGACACGAATCCTGTCAACAGAAGTAAAAATGTACTTTACACATATGGTATATTTGCCAAGAATATAAATTTTTTGAAGTAAAATCAGCTCGTGGTATAAGAAGATAACTGTAAGTCTGTTTGTAAACCTAATCTGATTTAGTAATTTGCATTGTACACCATTTTTCTTGAGATTGTATTGTCATAATCTCGTAATTTGCAAAGTCTTGAATACATTTTCTCTGGGTCGTCTTACGTGTTATAATCCTTCATAAGCGAACACGTGATGGAATGCTGCGAAAACATAATGATACATAAATATGTGCATTTGTGGCAGAAAGCGAATTGCATTTTTCCCCCAACAAATATTTTCTTTTTGTTAATGCATGACAGAAGTATGAGTATTGTAGTTATTATTCCCGTTCCATTAATTTCATTTCCCACAACAGACCTTAAAATTTTACGCAAAATTCACAACATGTTTTCATCCAACCATAATGTTGTTAGATTGACAAACACAAACATATCAATAGCTTGCCCGTTATAATTTTCAATTGTCTCAACAATTATTAACCTTAGAGACCTTAAACATAAACACAGTAAAGCTCCCACGAAGTCATTTATATTATCTCAAAATCTAATTATTGGAGGCGTATTACATTATAAGAGATTATCGAAACTGTCAAGTGTGCTAAGGAAATGACACGGAAGACAAATACCATTTGTATTTGTATGTGATGCTTAAACGTGTGTATTATTTTGAAAAAAAAAACTGGAAAAAAATCAAAAACAGAAAAAAACAACACTTAACCGGGAATCTTCGCAAGACGACATACTATTTATAAATGTTCCAGGTTTTAAGTTTATTAGAAAGTTAGTATAAACCTCAACATAGAATTCCATTTTTTGTAAAGGCTTTTTAATCAAGATATTCTTACACAAATGTTTTGAATTTCAATTTTACTCTATACTTGTATATGTTTCACTTGCTCATATATGAAATTCAATAAATTTACTTTTATATGAAATTTAATTCAAATACTTTGCATACGCCTTAATCTTTATCATAATTAAAGGCTAATGATGATAAGATGCAATGCTTTTAAATCTAAAACACTTGTCTTTATTTTGTAACACAGTTTTCTTAATTTTTCTATACATGTTAACATTATCTTGGCCTAGAATTATCATATTTCATGTGGATTCGCCTGTATAATTATTAAGTATGCATTACCTCTCATTATTAAAATGAGTATGACAATACTGTGGCGACGTCTTCTTTATTTTTACAATGCTAATTATAGAGATCCTAAAATACAATACAAGTAAGTCATTTTTATTTCACATCTTATAAAATATAATCAATACGTCTTCAACATGTGCATCATGTCATGATCCAATAGAAATCATCATTTGAGCCGTGTCATGACAAAACCAACATAATGGGTTTGCGACCAGCATGGATCCAGACCAGCCTGCACATCCGCGCAGTCTGATCAGGATCCATGCTGTTCGCTATCAGTTTCTTTACTTGTAATAGAGTTGGTAAGCGAACAGCATGGGTCCTGATCAGACTGCGCGGATGCGCAGGCTGGTCTGGATCCATGCTGGTCGCAAACGCACTATGTTGGTTTTGTCATGACGCGGCTCATTTGATCTAATCTTATTGATTTTGCCTTTTTTTTTCATTTCCAGAGTCAAAATGTTCATATCAAATGAATATCTTACCCCTGATAGCCTCGTTTTTATTCCAATAGTCCAAATAGTACATACCAAATGCATATCGTTTAGGGCGTCGTCCAATATAGTTTTGATAGCTTTGAACACGTCAAATAGAATTCAGTTTTGTATTAAAAGATGTATTATAAAATCATAATATTAATAAGACACATTTCTGTAGGCTGAATATAGACACTCCTTTTATCTCTTTCTAAGTGATTAAAAAGTTCTGTTAAAGAATTTAGATCGTCTGATATAGATAAATCATAATTTAAACATTCTTTATAACATTTCTTGATGATAAAGTGCGAGTACAGCATAAACAGAATCAAACATATTATATTCGTAGAAATAATGGTATGAAAGAGGAACATTGTAATTTGTTATAAACAAATGACCGTCACAGGGTAAGACTGCCCTCAAGCCTGGGGATTATTCTGCCCAATATAGATAAGGCACACTCACGTCACCAGCTGAATTTAGCAGAAGGTCTTGTTGAACGCCTCAGTGTGGTAAGGGTTGACAGTATAGACTGTTGTTTCACCAACTGAGTAGGTGATTGTTCCTGATAAGACTTGTATCTTGTATGCTGTGGGAAGCAGTTCAGGAGTAAGTGAAGAGCGTATTGAGTTACGTATGGTACATATGACATGTTGGTTACGACGAGCATTTTCCCTAAGAGGGAAGTGTCTAGGGTGTCTAGCCATCCTCCATGGAGTTTGTAACATCTACCAGGAGTATTCCTGTATAGTAGGATAGCACGTTGAATGGTTTTTTGTGTTTAGTTTTCCATTTGCTTCTTTGTTTTCAGTGATTAGACGCTTGATTGTTTTTACGTCCACATCTGTTGGGGAAGGCAAGAGAAGAGAGTCGATGGTTTGTTTACACATCATGTTTTAATATATTGTCTTATGATAAATTCTGGATCATCATCAAAGGCCAACTTGTCAGGGATTCCAAATGTAATAAATGTTGTTTTTCGGAGACTGACAATTATTCCTTTGAATAATGAAAACGGAAACGCATTATATAGGCTTATATCAAATTAGTTAAGTAAGGAAACTGATTCTTTAAGTTTAAGTGGAAATAATATTATTTCATCCCCTCCAATTCTCATTACAAACAAATATGTGCAGAAATAATGCTTTAAAATACTTGCATTCATATGTTGTCTAAGCAAAACATTCTAACTGATTTGCAGATATTACATTGTTCACTTCTCAATGCTTTTTTAATTTTCATGAAAAAGTAGATATTATTAAGACGTAGGCATTCGGCAATGTGGTATTATTATCCGATTAGAGTATATATTATTGAGATAATACGATTTCCGACTTAACCATTTAACAACAAATATATTATGTTTTGTCAGCAGCTGTACCTAAAACGTTGACATTTAATCATACACTATGCTAATCTCTAAGCCTATATCCACTTTTCCTGACCAATCAGAAACGAGTTTACAAATAAAAAACAACCAAGCTTGTAGGTAGGTATACTGTTAAAGTGGTGTTCACTTGAAGTCCAGACGGTCTGAACGCAGGAGCCGCCCCGGACGTGAATATATTCTTTTTTACCCGTTCCTGTTTTTTCGGTCCGGTAAACTAAGATAGACAGCGGCAGTTAGAGTTTTGAACGGGTAGACACAGTTTTACCGGTTGCTTTTTGGCACCATGGCTCTTCAACTAAACCCGTTGTTTGGGTTACTGCTCATCATTTTTGTCACGACTGGTAAGACATAAATGTTAATACAACATTTTCTTGTCTTGAGCTAAATTTGTGATATAAGTGTTATGAGCTTGTAATGATAGGATTTCCATTTAATTTAATTCATTTTTTTTATCTTTTCGCAGGAGACGTGGTGGCACAAATGGGTAAGTATTGCTTTTAATTCATTCACCGCCATTGTAACATATATTTAAAAGTTAATTCCTATTTAAGTCAATCATTATTTAAAAAACCAGTCTATGTATTTTTAAATGTCTTTTGTGCTCTAAAATCTGAAAAAGGTAAAACAAAATACTAGAATTTGGATGAAAATTCATTCCTACGATTAAATGTACTTTTAAATTTGGATAGACATGTTGCCATTTTTTAATGTATCGCACACGCGCTTATCAAACTCTCTTAGTTTGTAATTTATTTATGATTATATCTTTACATCTTTAATTACTGTCATTTGCAGGTGGTGGTAATGACAATTTGTGTGAGTATTTTTTTCTGTCAAAAAATTTAAAATTTGGTATATATTAATTCTTTTCCATATTAATTTTTATTTGAATACTATTGATCTTCATTTTATTTAAATTGTATTTGTGCATTCTCTCAGAATGTGCTGTTAATATCGCTTGAGCTATTTGGGTATTGATTGATAAAAAAATTAAAACACAGGATAAAGAAATGAAATATAGACAATGTTGAAAGGCGTGAATTTTCATGAACAGTAACTTGAAATTATCTTAATATATTTCAAATCAAAGTGTTGTCGCAAAATATCGGAGTAATCATTTTTCGTACCTTAGCGTCCAACGTAAATTAATTAATCAGTTAGTCGGTATCTTGAATAATCTGACCAATATCTTTGTTATCATAAACTTTTATCGATAGGTCTTCCGTGTTCCATTAAATAATACATAAAGCATTGGATTTATTTCTAGTTTGCGGTCAAAACCCTAAGACGGAAGTATGCTGTGATGGAAAACCGGCCCCTCGTGCTGGCAACGCCACGTGCTGCTGCGGGAAAGAAGGGACATTTCCTGCAGAGAAACTTTACTGCTGTAAAGGGAAAATAGTCGACAGACCACCAGAGCTCATGGGTGTCGACTGTTGTAGTACGTCATACTTTATACTTATAATAAAAATGAAAAAAGAGAGAAACGTATTGGTCATTAAAATATAGCTTGCTAATAATAGTTCGGCGATAATGAGTCATATCTTGATAGAAAAAGTCACTTTGTTTCTTTACTTATACATGTTGTTTGTCAATATTAACTAGTACCATTTTGAATTTTCGGTGACAATATTTCGGTTTCCGAAGTAAAATATATTGTCTTTATGCTAGCTTAAGTAATGAAATTCTAGAAATCGAAGTTGAAGAGTTTTAATTCGAATAGGAATGAGGTCAGAGGCATGTTTTAATACTTATTTCATGAAACTTTACCATAGCTAGTCTGTTGTCAATGATGTACATGTAAAAAACACATTAAATATTTAATCTGAATTATTGTTGAATTCATGAAACAAAGTTTTGCAAAATTAAAGAAATAATGCTTAAATCACATGCAGACAAATGAGAAAAAGATAATTGAAACGAGTTTTGAATTTAAACAGATATTTGAATAAAATAACGTTGAATTCAAACTTCATGAATATAAAAACAGCGAAAATATCAGGCATCAGGCCTTACTATGAACTATTAAGTATGAACTATTTTTAATAGAATCGACAAACAAATACATTTGTATGTGGGCTCTAGAAATTACGGAAGCTAACGATTAATATTTCGGAGATTGTACTCAATCACCAGTCAACATTGCAAAACATATGTATTAGTATAATATAAGTGAATCATGCAAACACTTTAAACGAGTCATATAATATAAACGCATTTGATACTTATATACCAAGTTTTAATTTTCCTTCAGCCTGCGGTTTCTCCAAGGCAGACATCGTGTTTCTCACAGATGCATCAGAGAGTCTGTCCGAAGAAAACTTTGTAAAAATGATGAAATTCATGACAGACATTGTAAGTTCAGTTGATGACAGCGACACCGTACGCATTGGCAGCGTGACTTACAACCATTTTACTTACATCAATTTTTACCTGGATCAGTTTAAAACGGTACGTTCAGTTATTATTACTTTTATTACGTTGAATCAACAGAATATTTCTGGCATTGACTTTAAATACACATTTTGTTATGTGTATAAAAGACATATGCTAATGGTATATGTCCTTTTTAACATTGAGTTTTAAAAAAATCCCTTTTCGAGTTGACAATAAGCTTTAGTTCTCAATGAGATGCAGATTTGTTGCTCAATCATTAAAACATACATTTTTATCTTTTATTTTCTGTAACTGACCTTTGTGTTCCTCCGCATAAAATGTGTTTTAGTCCCTCAATCTATACAAGTCTTCTGTTATTCATAGGCAAAGGGACTCGTTGAAGCCATTGCAAAGATTCCTTACCGTCGTGGAAGTACAGATACCGCTGCGGGAATCAAGCGTTGTAGAGAGGATGTGTTCGTACAAAAGAAGGGAGATAGACCGGATGTTGCTAACATTTTGATTGTGATGACAGATGGTGCTTCTGACAGCCCAGCCGATACAGCAAAAGAGGCTCAACTTGCTAGAGATGCTGGAATAAGGTAAAAAACATATAAAACATTTTGAAGATTGTATATGTAGTTATATCTTATAAATGTCCATGTAATAAAAATCCCGTTACATTTACTTGTTACAGTCCATTATTTATTTTTGTATTATTAATAAGTCATTTGTGAAATCTAAGACAATGTTTAATAATTTCTTAACTGTGTACATGTGAGGTCTTTTTGGGAAAGAAGCTGATATTAAAGGTTTTTCTCGCTACGAAGAAACAAATATTACTTCATCAAACAAGTTTGTTCTTATATCTCGTTTGTTTAAATGAACATTATAAAAGTTTTTTGTGTCCATTTGAAGAATAAACAAAGCTGAACAAAATTTAATTTTACTTTTTAGGGTGGTGGTTATAGGTATTGGTGCAAATGTTAATAAAACAGAATTAAATCTAATGGCATCACCACCTACTGACCAGAACGTTTACCTCGCAAAGAACTTTGATGTTGCTCTCTCGAATATCGAATCCAGCCTCTTTGCAAGTACCTGCACAGGTAATTATCTTCTGCCTGTTTGTAAAGAAAACTTCTTATAAATGAAATATTTTATCCATACCATTTAATGATCTTCGGTTATGTTCCAGAAAAGATAATACTAGTACATACATCTAAGTTTAAGGGCACAAATGGCATGAATAAATATTTTATCATTCTGATATTAGCATCTTGAAGAGTACATCTCAAGTACGAAGTATTTAGTACAGTTTACGAAAATTGTTATATTTCTTTTATGTAATATGCATAAATTATTTATTTCATCATATTATTTTTCAGACGTACCTATTGGACCTCCACGTAAGATTTCTTTCTATATGTTAAGCAAATATCAATGACTTAGGATTATACTTTAAAGCTCTATCTAGTATCGGCTGTCTTTTCACCTTTTAATTAACAATAAGTTATTCACTTGTTTTTGTTCCCGTAAAATATATTTATATTTTTTCACATACATTTCGTTCAGCACAACATTATTGTTGTGTGTACATGCTTTTGGTGTTATTAGTTTCTTCTATTTGACATTTTCAAACAAGATGGTTCCAGTATTCAAACTTGAATACTGTATGTATAATCACCCTTAGAATATGTTGCCTACTTTTTAAATTAATCTTTTGAAGTCATATCTGTGATACGCAGGCTTCTAGCCTCTGATCCCCTTTCAAAATTCCATTTTGTTTAGTTCCGCCCATTGTTTACCCGTTATTACTTTTTACATGGGGACCATACACCGCTTTTCATGGAATGGCACGGAAGTGTCACATTGAAGATTCCATGAAAACGCCGTATGTGGATGTTTCTAAATTCAAAAGTTCACAATTTTCGTGTTTAAATGTTGAAATCTGCTTTAGCCGGTGCTAGAGGGTGTGCACGGTAATTTCAACCTACGAGTACCGCCCATGAACATGTTTAATCAAACCGAGCCTGCAACATTTTCAATATTGTTGTTTTCGACGTTCTTTACGGATTCTGTATTCCCCTATGTCGTTATTATAATGATGTGGAAGCTCAGAAATCAATCTGCGCACTGTAATTTTATATGTCGAAATTTTATTTCCCATATGAAAGCCTATGTTATTTTATATGAAATTCGCAAATTACTTTGACATATCATTAATTATATTTTTGATTTGTATATTTAGAAAACCTTTGCGGCAGAGAAACATACGATCCAGATACAGAGTTGTGCTGCGGAACGAACATTTTCCCGCTTGTTGGAGGAAAGAATACCCGTTGTTGTGGTGATGATGTGTATGATGATAATTCCTTCATTTGTTGCAAAGAAAAGCTTCAACCAAGATTTGCTGGAAGATTTACTGAATGTTGTTGTTATGAATCATATGATAGCCGGGATTCTGTCTGTTGTGACACTCTCGTATGTAAACTTTTATCGTCACCGTAATAATTTCAAAACGCTTTACAATTGGTAAAGAAGGGAAAAAAAGAACCCATTAATCAAATACCTATGTATTCAGCAGAAAATGAGATATATCTTTAACATCTGTAGAAAAAGTAGCAAAATACATAATTTAAACTAAATCGTTTATGCGTGTTTACACTTATTTTCTTTGACTGGAAAATACAAAACAATACACTGAATTACCATATACGTATTATCAGAATGAATGGTCTGCCTGAGTACTAAAGTGTCACATCAAATCTATTGTAGTTTATGTATAAAAAGCTTAACAAGAATATTAGCGATGGTATCTTATTTAGAACGAAACAATATCTAGTACATTCAATGCAAAGTTGTTATTGTTACTACTCTTTATATAAATACATATCTATTATAAAGGTACAGCCATTAATTGCCGGGGAAGACACTGCATGCTGTGGCAACATAAGTTATAACCAGAAGGAACGTTTCTGCTGTGCAGGTAAGAAAGATTAGTTTGTAGGGTATAAATTACAAAAATCAAAGCAATTCTACCCTATACCCATCTCTATTCCCCTCAAAGAATAGTATAGTCTCAGAAATTTATATATATTTTAAACATATTTTGATAAATTGCCTAAAATGTTTTAATAGGGGCTGAAAATCCCATATTTTTAGATCAGTTCTTAGTGTTACTGGCATATAATCACCAAGAGTTTGACTATATCTTACACTGATAAGATAATCACAGAACACATGATAATATAATGTTGTATTTGTGAATTTATATGGTTTAAATTCTGATAGCAGCACCCATGTTCTAATATTCAGATACTCTTTTCCCGCCAAATTACCACCCGGACTGCTATGATTGTAAAGATATGTACGCCGTGCCAAATTTTGACGAGGATAAGAAAGTTTGTTGCGGTGGTAAATTATTTCCTGCTGTAAACGGCAACTTGACATGCTGCTGTGGGCAAAAACCGTTTAACTCTGATAAACAGATTTGCTGCGGAGGAAGAATACAAGACAGAAATGGTGGCGAAATTGCGACATGCTGTGGGTCTGACAATTTCAACCCATCAAAAGACATGTGCTGTGATGACAATGTGCAACCACTGAAAGCTGGAAAAGCGACAAGCTGTTGTGGACGAAAGAGTTACGATCCAAAGGCAGAGCTATGTTGTGACGATAAATCTGTTGTTAACAGAGATAAGCCAACAGATACATGCTGCTGTGGAAATACAAGTTACACAACTTCACAAATGATTTGTTGTGGAGGTAAAAGAAATACCTTATACAAGAGAGGTAGTCAGTGTTGTGGTACTACCAGCTTTGATTCTTCAAATTTCATCTGTTGTGAAGGGTCAGTACAAAAAATAGTAGGAAAATTGGAGACCAGATGCTGTGGTCAGAAAAGCTATGATGCAAAAGGACAAATGTGTTGTGATGGCAAAATTGTAAACAAAAGAAACGGGGCAGATGATTCATGTTGTGGTAATACAACATTTGATTCCAAAACAGAAGTGTGTTACCTTGGTGTTCCAGGAAAGTTATATGGTTCCGGAACTCGGTTCTGTGGTACGAAATCTTATGACGTGGAAACTTCAATTTGCTGTGGAGGAAAAGTGTACAGCTCTGAAGGAAATAAAGGAGTAGATAAATGTTGTGACAATGTTCCGTTCGATTCAAAATCCGAAATTTGTTGCGATAACAAAGTAAGATCACTTAATAAACCAGGAGATGACTGTTGTTGTGGAGACAAAGGAACTTTCAACGCAGTATCTGAGATCTGCTGTGACGGTAAAGCCCAAAAACGTGTAGCAGGAGAGAATACACAGTGTTGTGCTCAGACTAGCTATGACCCAGACACAAGTGTCTGTTGCAACGGGAAAGTATCTAAAAAAGCATCTGAAGGTGACAACTGGTGTTGTGGCAAAACAACAATGGACACAAATAAAATGATATGCTGTTCTGGAAACCCTGAACCACTTTACAAAGGAGAAACGGCCTGTTGTAAAGATAAAAGCTATGATACCACAAAACAAGTTTGTTGTGATGATGGTACAATCCAAGACAAGAAAGATCCTAAGGATGACTTCTGCTGTGGAAAGACATCTTTTGATCTCGAATCAGAAATTTGTTGCGAGGGTGTTCCACAACCCGTGCCCGATCCAAAATTCGGCAGATGCTGTGGTAAACAAGGTTATGACTCGAGAAAAGAAATGTGTTGTGACAAGAAACCAATACCTAAAGTTGATAAGGATGATAACTGTTGCTGTGGAAATACAACTATGAACACAGAGACACAAATATGCTGTGAAGGAATTCCTCAAAAACTTGTTGCTGGAGCATTCACATTATGTTGTGGCCCTGTCAGTTTTGATTCTACAAAATTCTTATGCGTCTATGGCGAATTGAGAAAGAAGAGAAATAAGGATGACAACTGGATTTGCGGTGATACTACAATGAACACAGTAACTGAAGTTTGTTGTATGGGACAGCCTAGGGATAAGAAGGGTGCAGACACAAAATGCTGCAAGGATCAGAGTTATGATGGTTCTCAGTTTGTTTGCTGCGATGGAGACACTTTAGTCAAGAAGGCAAACAAAGACGATAACTGTTGTTGCGGAAAAACCACTTTTAATACGAATACTCAAATATGTTGCCTGGGTAAACCACAGAAACTTTATGGTAAAGAAACAACAAAATGCTGTGGTGAGGAAAGTTATGATGCTGAAAAACAGGTCTGTTGTCCTGATAATACTGTATTTGCTAAGAACAATAAAGGAGATGATACTTGCTGCGGTAAAACGACAATCAACTCGAAATCACAAATATGCTGCCAAGGCGTTCCTAACAAAAGCTTTGGAGATATGACATCCTGTTGTGGAAATGCAAGCTACGATACCACGACGCATATATGCTGTGATGGAAAGATTGTAAAGAAAAACAACAAAAATGATGATAGCTGTTGTGGTGATACAACTATGAATTCTCAGAATCAAATTTGTTGTGAGGGCGGTCCAATGAAATCATATGGTCCGCTTACTCGTTGCTGCGGTAAAGAGAGTTATGATCCAACAAAAGAGCTTTGTTGTGATGGAGAAAAAATAATAAAGAAGAAAGACAATAACGACAACTGTTGTTGTGATGATAAGCCAATGAATACAGAAAAGGAAATCTGCTGCGAAAATACTGTCCAGCCTGCCCCAGCAGGACCACAGAAAACAAAATGCTGTGGTAAGGTAAGTTATAATCCAGAAACAGAAATGTGTTGCGATGGGGCAGTCACAAAGAAGGGTAGCAATGATGATGACTGTTGTTGTGGCAAAACATCATTTAATACAGAAAAAGAAGTTTGCTGTCAAGGAGCAATTCCGCAAAAGTTATATGAGGGACCAACACTTTGCTGCGGCGACGTCAGTTATGATACAACAAAGTTTTTATGTATAGAAGGTAAACTTTTTAAAAAAAGATCAGCCGATGACGATAGATATTGCGGAGAAACAACATTTAACTCACAGAAAGAAATATGCTGTGATGGGAACCCAAGCCAACTTTTCAAAAACACTGATTGTTGCGGAAGCAAAAGCTACAATACAGACGAACAAGTTTGTTGCGAAAACCAAGAAATTAGAAAGAAATCAAGCAATGGGGACGACTTCTGTTGCGGAAAGATGACTGGAAACTCAAAGAAGGATATGTGTTGCGAAGGGGTATCACAGCCAATCAAAAATGGAGATTTTTCACAGTGTTGTGGTAAAGAGTCATATGACTCTGAAACATCTATATGTTGTGACGGACTTGTCAGGAAGAAAGAACGTAAAGGAGACAACTGCTGTTGTGGCAAATTAACAATAAATACTGCAGAACAGGTGTGCTGTAATGGTATACCTCAGCCATTGGAAAAGGGTCTTGAGACAAAGTGTTGTGGTCCTAAAAGTTTTAATCCTGACGATTTTGTTTGCTGTGATGGAACCACGCTGACTAAGAAGAGAAACAAAAATGATAATTGGTGTTGCGGAAGTAGCACAATAGATATGACAAAAGAAATCTGTTGCGAGGGCAATCCAGACGAAAAGAAGGGAGGAGACTCCGCTGCATGCTGTGGAAATGCCAGTTACGACCAATCAAAAAGTGTATGCTGTGACAGTAATATAGTTAAAAAGAGAAATGGAAATGACGACGGATGTTGTGGCACTACAACATTAAATGTAAACGCTGAAATTTGCTGTGAAGGGAAGCCTAGAGAACGATTTGGTGGAAGTAAATACACTGCGTGTTGTGGCGATGAAAGCTTCGATACAAGAAAATCTGTTTGTTGTGACGGTAACGTAAGGGACAAGGCTAACAATGATGACAATTCGTGCTGCGGGAAAACAACGTTTAATGCAGTAACACAAATGTGCTGTGATGGAAAACCAAGTGATAAGAAAGGAAAAATGCCAAAATGTTGCAATGATATGTCATACGATGCTGACAATGAAATTTGTTGTGATGGACAAATAAGGGAGAAGAAAGGTAAAACCGATGATTGCTGTTGTGGAAATACAACTATGAGTTCCACATCTGAAGTTTGTTGTCTTGATACACCTCAGCCTGCACCCGGAGGTGCGTTCCATAGATGCTGTGGAAAGACAAGTTATAATCCAGATAACTTTGTTTGCTGTGAAACTGATAAACCACAGAAAAAACGAGACAATAAAGATAATTGGTGTTGCGGGGAAACTACATTCAATTCTTTTAAAGAAGTATGTTGCCAGGGCACAACACCACAACCTATGCGCGGAGAAAATACTAAGTGTTGTGGCCTAGAAAGCTACAATCCTGACGAGGCACTTTGCTGTGACGGCGAAATAGTTAAGAAGCGCGATTCCAAAGATGACTGCTGTTGTGGTGACACAACAATAAACACACAAAAAGAAATATGTTGCGCTGGAAAACCACAGCCCGGAGGAGCCAATTCCGACTGCTGTGGAAATGAAAGCTTTGATGTCAAAAAGGAGATATGCTGCGGAGGAAGTGTACGGGCAAAGAAGAACGAAGCTGATGACTGTTGTTGTGGTGACACAACAATTCAAGCAAAAACAGAATTATGCTGCAATGATGTTCCACAAAAGCTGAAAAATGGTGGATTAACTAAATGCTGCGGAAATGTTAGCTACGATTCAGTTACTGAAATATGCTATGAAAATGAAATTAGGAAGAAGAGAAACAAAAATGATAATTGGGTATGTGGCGAAACGACTATGGATACAACAAAAGAGATATGCTGCAATGGAAATCCTCAAGATGCTGTAGCGGGTGAAGACACTCGTTGTTGTGGTCAAAACGGGTATGATCCCAGTAAATTTGTCTGTTGCGATGGGGATAATCTGGTAAAGAAAAGAAACAAAGATGACAATTGCTGTTGTGGAAAAACAACATATAACACAGTTATGGAATTTTGTTGCAATGGAAAACCTGGTAAAAACTATGGCCCAAGCACACTTTGTTGCGGTGAAGAGAGCTATGATGGTGATAAGTTTATTTGTTGCGAGGGTCAAATTGTTAAAAAAAGAAATCCATCTGATGATTGCTGTTGCGGAAAAACAACCATGGATGCTTCATCGGAAACATGCTGTGACGGAACACCGCAACCTTTATCAGGAGGTGCACAATACACAACGTGTTGTGGTAAACAGAGCGTCAATACAATAAAAGAACTTTGTTGCAACGGTAAAGTTATTCCAAAGGCTAAACCAAGTGATGACTGTTGCTGCGGAAGCACAACCGTTGACGCGGTCAATAGCATTTGCTGTAATGGGATAAACCCGCAACCACGTTTTGGCGGAGCTGATACAAAATGCTGTGGTGATATTAGTTTTGATCCAGCTAAAATGGTTTGTGTAGACAATGATGTTCTTTTAGAAAAACGAAATCCAAATGACAATTGGAGTTGTGGTAAAACAACTATGAACACAAATACTGAAATATGCTGTATTGATACACCTGTACCAATACTAGGTAAAATTACAAGATGCTGCAAGAAAGATAGCTATGACGCAGATACACAGTTATGTTGTGACAATGGCGTCAGAGGGAAGAAGTCTAAAGACGACACATGCTGTTGTGGAACGGATATGACATTTAATCCCGACAAAGAAATTTGTTGTGAAGGAACAACACCACAACCTCTAAAGGGAAGCAACACTAAATGTTGTGACACTGTAAGCTATGACCCCGCTGAATTTCTTTGTGTTGACGGTAAATTAATTAAGAAAAGAAAACCCGGAGACGATTCTGTTTGTGGAAATACTACAATGGAAAATTCAGAAGATATTTGTTGCTTAGGTAACCCAAGAAAAAGGACGGGCGGAGACCAATCCGACTGTTGTGAGGACAAGAGTTTCGATTTAGTATCCGAAATATGTTGCGATGGACAAATACGTAAAAAGAAGAACGAAAATGATGACTGCTGCTGTGGAGATACAACGATGAATGCAAATACAGACATTTGCTGTGATGGAGTTCCTCAACCAATAACAAAGAAAGGAAACTGGAATTGCTGTGGAACAAAGGCCTACAACAATGATGAGGAAGTCTGTTGTGATATGGAAATCAATAAGAAAAAAGACAAAAATGATGATTGGTGCTGCGGTGATACGACTATGAACACAAAAGAAGAAGTTTGCTGCAGTGGTGTTCCGAATAAATCATATGGCAAAAAGACTAGATGTTGCCTTGAGGTTAGTTACGACTCCGATGTGTTTATGTGTTGTGACGGAGATCAGCTTGTAAGCAAAAGAAGCAAAAATGATAATTGCTGTTGTGGGAAAACAACAATGAATACAGAAACAGAAATTTGTTGCGAGGGTGTACCTCAGCCAAGTTTTGGAGAAAGTACAAGATGTTGCCATAAGCAGAGCTATGATTCTGACAAATTCCTCTGCTGTCCATATGGACAGATGGCACTAATCCCTAAACAATCCAAAATGGACGATGAGTGTTGTGGAAACTCAACAATTAATGCAAGGAAACAAATATGCTGCGATGAAACGCCTCAAAATCTCGTAGGTGGTGAAGAAATGACTTCTTGTTGTAAAAAAGAAAGCTTTAATATGGCTAAAGAACTTTGTTGTGATGGCGAAGTAAGGCAAAAGAGAAAGAATGAAGATGATGTTTGCTGTGGGGAAACCACCCTTAATGCAAGAAAAGAGTATTGCTGCCTTGGTGTTCCACAAAAATCTTACGGAGAATTAACAGATTGCTGTCTTGATGTGAGTTTTGATCCAAATAAACAGGTTTGCTGCGATAACAAAGTGATTGACAAATCTGATGACAGTGATGATTGGTGTTGTGGAAAAACATCAATGAACACAAATAATGAGATATGTTGCGATGGTAAGTTTGTTCAGCCAGCTAAAGGTGGTAAGAATGCAAGATGTTGTGATAAAGAAAGTTACGATTCTGAAACTGAGATGTGCTGTGATAACAACATTATACCAAAAGCAGGAAATAAAGATAATTGTTGTTGTGGAAATACAACTTTTAATACTGAAACTGAAGTTTGTTGTGGTGGTATTATGCCACAGCCAAAGAAAGGCCCAAATACACAATGCTGCGATCTTGTAAGTTATAACCCGGATGAACAGTTATGCTCTGATGGAAAATTGTATGACAAACGGGATAAAAACGACGATGGAAGATGTGGGTCTACAACATTAAATACACAGAAAGAAGTATGTTGCATTGGAAAACCTAGGCCTGGAACTTTAGCAACTTCAGATTGTTGTGAAGATCAGTCTTATTCGCTTAAGGATGAGGTGTGTTGTGATGGCAAGATCAGACCAAAGAAAGATTCACAAGATGACACATGTTGTGGAAACACGACAGTAAATGCTAAGAACGAAATCTGTTGTGATGGTGTTCCTCAACCAGCAAAAAGTGATATGTGGAAATGTTGTGGGAAAACAAGTTATGACGAGGAAAACTTTTTATGTTGTGACTTGACAATAACAAAGAAACGCGGCAAAACTGATAATTGCTGCTGTGGAAAGACAACATTTGACAACAGGAAAGAAGTATGCTGCATAGACACACCACAGCCATCATTTGGAGACGATACACAATGCTGTGTTCGGGAAAGCTACGATCCAGAAAAATCTATTTGCTGCGGAAATGCTGTATTTAAAAAGTCTGATAAAGGAGACAATGGATGCTGTGGAAATAAATCACTAAATACAAACACTGAAATTTGCTGTGATGGTTTGTATGTTGAACCAGCAAAGGGTGGCAAAAATGCACGATGTTGCGGAAAAGAAAGTTATGATTCCGAAAATGAGCTTTGTTGCGATATGGAAATTACAAAAAAGAAAGATAAAAATGATAACTGGTGTTGCGGCAAAACAACATTTAACACTGAAAATGAGTTGTGCTGTGATGGCGTTATGCCACAGAAAAGTTACGGCTCGAATTCAAAATGTTGTGGAAAAGTAAGTTATGATGCAGACAAGCAGTTATGCTGTGACGGAAACCTTGTTGACAAAGTCACCAAAAATGATGATTGCTGTTGTGGAAAAACAACAATTAATTCAGAAAAACAAATTTGTTGTGATGAAACCCCCCAACCTGGTACAATGGACAATAATGGATGTTGTATGAATACAAGTTACAGTTTTGAAAATGAGGTATGTTGTGATGGAAGCATTAGACGCAAACGTGACAAGGGTGACAACTACTGTTGTGGTGAATCAACTCTTGACACAGCAAATGAAATATGCTGTGATGGAAATGCACAGCCCGCGCTTGGAGGTCGTTTCTCAAAGTGTTGTGGAAAGAAAAGTTATAACTCAAAGACCCACATTTGTTCTCAACGAGATTTCAGAATAGTCGAAATGGCAAATGAAGGAGACGACTGGATTTGTGGTGATACAACTTACAATACAGATACCATGGTATGCTGTATAGATACACCTCAACCGTCCTTTGGACAAGGTACAAGGTGTTGTGTCAGAGAGAGTTATGATCCAGTGAAGGCTAAATGCTGTAATGGAACTGATATTACGGAAAAGGCAACAAGACGGGATGATTTATGTTGTGGTAAAGCAACGCTGGACTCAGACAAACAAATTTGTTGTGAAGGAGAAGTCAAAGAAAAGGTAGGCGGTGAGAGAACGCGTTGTTGTCATACAGAGCCATATGATCCAAATATATTTTTATGTGATTTTAAAAATCTGATGAAGAAGAGGAGCAAGGATGACAATTGTGTATGTGGTGAAACTACATTTAATACTGTAACAGAAATTTGCTGCGAAGGAATCCCTAGAAAACTTGTAGGAGGTTCTTTAACTGCTTGCTGCGGAAATCAAAGTTATTCAATCGAAGAAGAAGTTTGTTACAATAACGAAATAAGGAAAATGAACAATCCAGGAGACGATGCATTCTGTGGAAAATCAACAATGAACACAAACACACAGGTATGCTGTGATAGAAACCCACAAGATGCCGTTGCTGGTGCTGCTACACGTTGTTGTGCTGATATTAGCTTTGATCCATCCTCTCATATCTGCTGTGACGATGGTGTTCGAAAATTGAAGAATAAAGATGATAACTGTTGTTGTGGTGATACCACGTTTAATACAAATAACATGGTATGTTGTGATGGTTCCGTGCCACAAGAAGCGAAAGGAGGTGACAAAGCAAGATGTTGTGGTAAGGAAAGCTATGATTCTCAAAATTTTATGTGCTGTGATATGGTTATAACAAAGAAGAAAGATAAAAATGACAACGTTTGCTGTGGAAATACTACGATGGACTCAAAAACTCAAGTCTGTTGTATAGGCATGTATCCAAGACCAAGGAAAGGAGGTGATCAAACATTATGCTGTGGTGACGACAGTTTTGATCCTAAAGAACAGCTTTGCTGTGAAAATAAACTGATGAAGAAAGACAACCCAGATGATGACTGTTGTTGTGGCGACCATTCAATGAATGCTGCCAAAGATATTTGTTGTAAGGACAGTGTTCAGAAACTTGTCGGTAAAGAGTTTACATCTTGCTGTGGGTCTGTTAGCTTTGATACAAAAACACAAGTATGCTGTAATGGCGAAATTAGAAAGAAAAAGAATGAAAAAGATGATGGGTGTTGTGGTAAAACAACTATCAATGCTAAATCTGAACTATGCTGTGAAGGGATACCGCAACCTATGGTAGGGGGTGTAGAGTTTTCTGATTGCTGTGGTGACAAGAGTTATGATACCAGAAATACAATGTGCTGTGACAAAGAAATGAGGAAAAAGAGAGATAATGGAGATAATTGTTGTTGTGGTGATACAACAATTAATACAAAGAAGGAGGTATGCTGCAATGGAAAACCTGCTGATGCTGTAGCTGGCAAAGAGACACAGTGCTGTGGTGAGGCAAGCTTTGACCCATCGAAAGAAATATGTTGTGATGGTGACAGTCTCAGAAAGAAAGCTGATCCTAGTGATAACTGCTGCTGTGGTAAGTCAACTTTCAATACAAAATCAGAAATATGTTGTGATGGTGTACCTCAAGAACGTAAAGGAGGAAAGAACTCAAAATGTTGTGGTACTGTAAGCTATAATCCAGATAGTGAATTTTGTGATGATGGTGATCACCTTATTACGAAGAGAAGCAAAGACGATGACTGTGCTTGTGGAAACACAACAATGAATACAAATACAGAGGTATGTTGTCAAGGAAAACCTCAACCAAAATACGGAGATACAACAGATTGCTGCGAAGACAAGAGCTATAATAGAAACACACAAGTATGCTGCGAAAAAAAAATTAGGGAAAAGAGAAATAAGAAGGATGATTCGTGTTGTGGTAAAACAACATTTGATACAGCCACCGAAATTTGTTGTGACGGCATGCCGCAAGATCAGAAAGGACCATTTACAAGATGTTGTGGACAAGTAAGCTACGATCCAAGAAAAGAAATGTGTTGCGATGGAAAATTAAGACCAAAAGTGAATGCTGATGATGATTGTTGTTGTGGCAAAGTTACAATGAATACACGATCTCAAGTATGTTGTAATGGTGAACCTCAGAAATCTTTTGGCCCTGAAACAAGATGTTGTGGTGAGTCAAGTTTCAACTCTAAAACAGAAATCTGCTGCGACATGAAAATTGTGAAGAAATCTAATAATGACGATAACTGTTGCTGCGGAAAGGATAAAACTTTTAATACTAAATCGGAAGTCTGTTGTCAAGGTTTATTCCCACAACCAGCAGTAGCAGGTGATAATACAAAATGTTGTGGACCTAAAAGCTATGATCCTCGTAAACAGTTATGTAATGAAGGTAAATTAATGGATAAGAATAACCCTGCTGACGACGGAGTTTGTGGGAAAACAACGATTAACCTTGCAAATCAAATTTGCTGTGATGGAAACCCAAGACAGTCATTTGGCGAGAAAACTTCTTGTTGTGGTGATATAAGCTTTGATACAGACACACAAGTATGCTGCGATAAAAAGGTCAGGGATAAAAAATCTAAAAAGGATGATTGTTGTTGTGGTAAAACAACAATGGACGCTCAATCTGAAATATGTTGTGATAGTACCCCACAACCTCTTGTTGGCGATGAATTCACTGATTGCTGCGGAAATGTGAGCTATGACACAAGAAAATATGTTTGTTGCGATGGTGCTCTCGTAGAAAAACGCAAAGGAAACAGCAATAAATGCTGCGGAAGAACAACAATGGATTCAAGAACGGAAATATGCTGTGATGGTAACCCACAAGATGCTGTTGCAGGTTCTGAAACAATGTGTTGTGTTGATAAAAGTTATGACCCTAGTGTTATGTTTTGTATGCAAGATGGGTCATTAAGGAAAAAACGAAAGCCAGATGATAATTGGTATTGCGGAAAAACAACGATGAATGTTAATATTGAGATATGTTGCGATGGCGAACCTCAAGAAATGAAAGGCGGAGAAAATGCTAAATGCTGTGGAAAAGAAAGTTATAATTCTAAATCACAAGTATGCTGTGACGGAATAATAAGAGACAAAACAAACCCCAATGATGATGCATGTTGTGGCAAGAAAACGATAACTTCTACAAGAGAAATTTGCTGTTTAGAGGTAACACAGCCTGGAGGTCAATACATGACATGTTGTAAGGATAAGAGCTTCGATACTAGAGAAGCATTATGCTGTGACGATGAGCCAAGAAAAAAGAAAGATAAATCCGACAATTGCTGTTGCGGTAAGACGTCCTATGATACAAATAAAGAAATTTGCTGTATGGGAACTCCACAACCCCTTAAGGGTAAAAATAAAGAATTAACAAAATGTTGCCTTTCTGAAAGTTATGACTCGGTTACAGAAATTTGTTGCGACGGAAAGATAGTTAAGAAGAAGAAAGATAGTGATAACTGGTGCTGTGACTCAAAACCATATGATACAAACTCTGAGGTATGTTGTGCTGGCGACGCAATTGATAAGTCATATGGATCGAACACTCAATGCTGTGGAAGAAAATCTTTCGATACGTCATCACAGGTATGTTGCGATGGCCAGATAAGAAATAAGGCAAATAAAAACGATGACTGGTGTTGTGGAAAGACAACATTCGATTCAAGCTCACAAGTATGTTGTGATGGCATGGTACCACAGCAATCATATGGAAAAGACACTGAATGCTGTAATGGGAAGAGTTTTGATCCTTCAAAGCATGTTTGTTGTGAGGGTAAGCTTATAGAAAAGGCAAATAAAAACGACGACTGTTGTTGTGGCAATAAATCAATCGATTCAAAGACACAAATTTGTTGCGAAGATACTCCACAACCAGTTGTTGGTGATTTCGAATTCACGTCATGCTGTAACAAAGTAAGTTTTGATACTCGTAAGTCTCACTGTTGCGACGGGAAGGTGACCAAAAAGCGTAATAATGATGATGATTGCTGTTGTGGAAGCTCAACTTTAAATGCTAGAAAACAAATTTGCTGCGAAGGAAACGCAAGAGATCTTGTTGGTAATGAATTTACAAAATGTTGTGGTAGTGAAAGCTACGACTCGAATAAATTCCTATGTCAAGATGGCGAATTAAGAAAAATGGCTAGTGCTGGAGATAATATGTTCTGTGGAAAGACAACTATTAACACAAATAAACAAATATGTTGCAATGACAATCCTGCTAATATTCTAAAAGGACCAACTTTATGTTGTGGGAAAGATAGTTATGCCACAGACACTCAAGTATGCTGCAGCGATATGAAGATCTTTACAAAATCTAGTATGGATGATAATTGGTGTTGTGGGAAGGACGCAACATACAATACGGACAATGAACTTTGTTGTAATGGTGTACCACAGCCGGCTGTAGGTGGAAGTTTTGCCGATTGTTGTGATGTAGTTAGTTATGATACAAGAAAACAACTTTGCTCCGATAATAAACTATACGATAAAAGAAACAAGGACGATGACTGCAGATGCGGAGAAACGACTTATAATACAGCGACAGAAATGTGCTGTGATGGTGTTCCAAGTAAACCAAAAGGTGACATTAAATTTGGCTCATGTTGTGGAACAAACAGCTTTAATACAGAACTTGAAGTATGTTGCGGGGAAGAAGTCCGTAAGAAGGACAAGGCAAACGACGATAGCTGTTGTGGTAAGTTTACCTTTAATGCAGAGAAAGAAATATGCTGCGATGACATGCCTCAACCAAGAACAGCTGGTGACAAGACTATGTGCTGTTTGAAAAAGAGCTTTGATCCAGAAAAAGAAATTTGCTGTAAGAATGATGTGCGAAAGAAGCAAAGCAATGATGATAACTGTTGCTGTGGCGATTCCACTTTCAATACTAAAACTGAAATTTGCTGTAACGACAAACCTCAACCAAGGAAGGGAGATAATACTAAATGTTGTGATACAGTTAGCTATGATGCTGATAAGGCTATTTGTTCAGAGGATAACACACTTGTTACAAAGGCTAATCCAGATGATGACTGGATATGTGGTAAAACAACATTTAATACAAATAAACAAGTATGTTGTCTTGGAAACCCACAACCTTTGTATAAGGGTAATACAAAATGTTGTGTTAAAACGAGTTACGATGAGGATGAAAGTATCTGCTGTGACGACGAGGTTGTTAAAAAGTCTAAAAATTCAGACAACGCTTGTTGTGGTAAGAAACCACTAAATCCAAGTTCACAGATTTGCTGTCAGAACGAGGTTAGAGACAGAACTGCCGGTGCAGAGTCCATGTGTTGTGATGACAAGGAGTTTAATCCAGCCAGCGAAGTATGTTGCGATGATCTAAGAATTTTGAAGAAGAAAAGCAAAGACGATAACTGCTGTTGTGGAAATATGACCTTCAATACTGCTTCTGAGGTTTGTTGTGATGGTGTTGCAAGTGCTGCACAAACAAGGGACGTAAGGGAAACTAAATGTTGCGGAAAGAAAGCTTACAGCGTTGATAAATCTATTTGTTGCGAAGGAGACGTTTTACAGGTTGCTATTGGAGGAGTGAAAAACACGCGCTGCTGCAAAGATATTGCTTACGATATTACACTAATGGTTTGCTGTGACGGTAAACTAAGAAAGAAGGATAAACCAGGGGACATGTGGTGTTGTGGACAGGGAACGTATAATCCTGGCACTGAAGTGTGTTGTCCAAACAAACCATCCTATGTATCAGCGCCTTTGAAAGGCTCAAATACACGTTGTTGCGCTGGTGAAAGCTACGATGCCTCAATGGATATATGTTGTGAAGGTGTTATACAACACGCATGGCTCGGAACCAGAACACGCTGTTGTGGACAAAGAAGTTACAATCCAGAAAGAGGTTTATGCTGCAACAATACTATGATTGAGAAAACATTGCCTTGGGATGATTGTTGTTGTTGTGGAAAGACGTTCTTCAGTGCTAAACAAATTTGCTGCAATTGTGAAGTTAACGGTAAACATTTTATTTAATGAAATTTTTCATTGATATTTACCCTATTTGTGCATTAAAAAATAAGTAGAATATAACATATCTGCCAACTAACATAAAATATTCCTCTCAATTATTATTATCTTGAGATCAATGAAATTCGATTAAAAAGAAAGCATGCTATCAGTGTTCACTGTATATTTAAATTTATTTCTTATTTATTAAAGGTAAATGCGGTGGTGCCGGGACGAAATGTTGTGATAAAGAGAGCTATGACCCAGAACTTCAAATTTGTTGCAATGGCGTTATTAAACCAAAGACATATGGAGAAGAAAGCTATTGTTGCGGAGAATATGTGTATACACCTAAACTTGCATTATGCTGCGGAGATTATGTGAAATGGAAAATGGGTAGAATCACATGGTAAATGAGATGTAAGTAAAAATTAGGATCAATTGTTACTTCAGAAATGAAGAATAATTTTCTAACATATAACACATAAGAAATAGGTTTTATTTGTTTCTTAAAGACTTTTAAATTTCACATCATAGACAACAAAAATATATATTTATGACATTCTGCAAGAGTATTTGCTGTTTTTTAAATCAATGGCATGTGTTTTTCATAGCTTATAATTATTCATATTTTCTTCTTTATTTCAGAATATCCTACAATATATACCAAACCAAACTAAGTCAGAGCATGAGTCACCTTATCATATAGTAAAAACGTTCTTTATCATGTATTTCGCGCTTCTGTCATGTGTATGCTTGTAATGTAAAAAATCAAACATTTTAGTTTTATTTCATGATATTCACGTTGGTTTTATATCCCAAATGTGAAAATGCTGCATAGTCAACGCACAATTTGCTTTTCACAGTGTAAGTCAGTGAAAGCAAAAGGGTTTCATAAGGTATAAATCTCACAAACTCTATAAACCATTTATCTTTATATATTTCAACAGACTGGGTTACTGAATAACCATTTGTTAGTGTATATTTTTCACACACATGTCATCATATCGTGTATTCACATTCAGCATTCCATTATTTACGACGGTATATAGGAAAACTAGTTAAATATTTGTACATCAATTCAACACTATTTGTATTAATTTCATAACTAAATAAGCCGACTTAAGTGATTTGGTTGTTTTGAAGTTTATGGTAACTGTCTCAAAATTATTCGTGACCATCAAGCTTGAATTTTCTCTGTTATACTGACATATATGTTGCTTTTCATTTTTTGTCAATTATATATACATATAAAGTACCTCTCTTCTCTAAACACAACCATTAATAAATGTGTCACTATTATTTTTTTATTCATGTTGTACCATTATTTATCCATTTATGAAGTCATTGTTATTCTTTATTCTTCGTTTCATCTTATTTTTTTTCAGCGCGATGTATAATTACCCATCCCGTACTTTCGCTTGATCAAATTTTTAATTTGCTTTTTGCGACCCATTACGTAACATTTCCATTTTAGCTTACATAATATGAAATGAAAATGACTATTTTCAAAATCGACATTTCTCATGTGTATGCATTCATGAAAACTTCATTGACACATTTATATCGACTGTTTTTAATTCATATTGGTAAAAATCATGTCACAAATCAACGCATTCACTCATTTATCAAATAATTCATTATATTTATTGTTGGGAATTAATTATTAATTGGATGTTAAATGCCACATACGTCTATTGCAGCACATAATACCGAAAACAATCTTTAAAACGAAACACCACGAAATACCTCTACAGTGAGTTTATAGGGCAAATAGTGAAAATATCAAATTTTGTGTATTGTCTTTAAGTTCTTAAATGTATGCTCTTTTGATTTCGTGTGCTGCATAGACATGTGTTAGTAGGTGTTTCTTTTTTCTTTCTTCTGTACATTTCGAGGGCTATACTATTACATTTGGAGAAATAAAATTGTAGTAAAAATGCCGTTGTCTTGTCATAATTGACTTGTTACTTTTATTTTTTTATCACTATCATACACAGATGTGTTTATCTATATGTTAAATGTATATATACATTAAATGCACGAGGTTTTGAAAATATAACCAAAAGAGGTTAAGTTGAAGACCAGTGATATACATTTCTATCTTTGGAAAACCCACATGCAAGAGAAAATACGAATGTCTGTACCCTAGACAACGGAAAATACCGTATGGGCCAGTGAGTGTCTGTCCAAAGAGTAGTTCCTACTGATATAACAAATACAATCAACAACAAGAAACGATAGTGAATGGGACTAAAGCATATGCAAGACACTTTGTAAGCACCCAGAGAATTGCGAGTATATTAAATGACTAGATTTGACACTTTTTATGTTGTCGCATTGTTAAGTTTCTGCCAGCAATGACATGCAAATAGGCTAAATGCAAGTGCAAGTGCAAATGCGAATGCATACTACGAGGGTTGTTCAAAAAGTAATAGGACTGCAGTTCTGCTGTTCACATTTTTTAATTTACGTGCTTAATTTTACAAGATAATAATATCGGAACATTTCCTCTATATACAGTGAAAAAATCAATAAAATATGTATAAAAATAACGAGTCTGTGAAAATTTTAAATGACAAGGGGTTCGCGACCCGGCGCACGCTAACAACACAATAAATGACGTTTATGACGTCGTCAAATAAAAAGAAAATATCAAGCGTCATCCCTTCTGAAAGAATTCTCCCTAGTGTTCTAGGTATCTAAATCATGTAACTTTGACCAGACCTCATGTGAGGAGATGAAGCGAGAAAGAAAACGACCAAATTCTCGTTCCACTCTTCGAAAAAAAACTCCGAATAGCCAGCCACTCTCCGCTTTTTCTCGTATTCTTGAATCAATACAGATTAAACAGGCATGAACATATGATGTTAATGAAAAAGCGCTTAATACAATTATTTTACACATATCATCGTACGTTCTTAAAACAATATGATTAGGTTAGTAAAATAAAAATAGTAATTAACTGAAAAGTATATTTTCCTACTAGGAACAGCGTATCATTTTAAAAAGAAAATCGGGGAAAAATATTAATAATTACCATTAATAATTATTACATTAATGTATTGATAACACATAAATCTATTAAATGAAATAGAATTTTGTTTATAACAAATTGTTTGGGCAGAACTGAACAGGCAGTGCAGAAATCAAACATGCCGGAGAATTCGTCGACCGTAGATCATTTTGTAGCGCTTTTTCATTTGACGTCACTTACGTCCCGTCAATTTCCAGCTATCATTATCATCATTTCCGGTTTGTGATCTCGTCTGTGCAGTTTTTGAATTGCTTGCGCAAACTGAGAACGAGTATCCTGATAGCCGATTAGTTCTATGTTAATTTTATGTTTTCATATGTATCTGAAGGAGTATCGCCAATTTGTTGGCAAAGTTTAACGATCGCAGGCATTTTAAGTTTTTTCACGAACGTCAAATTTCTAAATTTAAAGTTATGACCACTGCAGTTCAAAACTTGATAATTCAGCTATCTCATGTCTGAATGACGTCAAATTTGGGCATGATGTCACTTATTATATAATAAATACAATTAATTGTGTTGGTGGAATAAATAGGGGAAAAAATATAATAAATTATGAATAAAATAAAAGTTCAACTAAGCTTCAGTAACTTTTTATGTGCTGCGCCGGGTGCGTGTTACCATGGTTATTCAATAACACAGGGAAAACTCGTTAAGCACAAGAATTCAATAATTGTATGCTTAAATTGAAGAAAAGATTTTTCGATCGTTGTACATATAAAATATAATTAATTGAATTAAATATAAAAGTGCAAGACGCTTAGTCCTATTACTTTTTGAACAACCCTCGTACTAATGATAAAACAACAACGACGAAAAAATCCGAACAAACGAACAAAGTCGAAAATAAAGTTAGAAAAATGTTTATTTACAATGTATTTTACTATTATTCATGTCAGTCATTAATTAAAAAAAATGAACGTCATTTTCAACGGAATTACAATGATTTACGAATTTGTCGCATATTCTGAGAATATGATATTCGTAAAGAGCAACGAAGTCAAAAACTTAAACAGGCAGATTATCGCAGTCTCCGTTTGTTTCAGTTACTTTATCGAGAAGGGCAACATCTTTCACGACCCTAGGACAAGTTTACGTGATATTCAATTCTAAATACTTAAAAATTGAAATATCTGATCAAGAAAGACAAATAATGTGACAAAAACTGAGTGGATCACGTTTTATAAAAGATATACAACATGCATCAAAAGTGTATATTCCATTTATTAAGGTATTAGCACCCTAATGCATTACCTCCGCTTTGAAGAGTATTCTAATAGGCTAGAATTACAATCGCAACTACTCGGCCCTTTCCGTCAGTCTTCGGATAAGGACCTCGAACACAATAGTATGAATACACAGAACGGATGCGGTATTCCGGTCTAACCTACGCTAAGAAACTAAACATGTAAACAAATAGTAATTTAATGCTGGGAGTTGTTGACAAGTTTATTTCCAATATATATGTAGTTAAAGTCCACCTAAAATAAGTGAATTCATAGGTACAAAAGCAAACAAAACATTATTTCTACATTTATTAACATGACTGCAGAAACCGAAAGTACAAAAAACCAACCTTTTGACATTTAGTCGGATTTGTTTTAAATTGAACATCAGTGGGCATATTTAAAGTACAAATTGTTGTCAGACATATTTTCAAGCATTAGAGTACCGGAACAGACATCAGATGTCAAATATTTACATTTGTTTTACATTATCTCTGTTTCTGTTTACATTTGTAAACCACGTGGTAGAACTACTTTCAATCCGTATTGTTTCCGAGGTTAATATTATTGATAATAGCCGAGGCAGTTCCGAATGCTAGAATTACTGTTAAGTACATTGAAAATGAGGGCAATGGGTTCAATCCCCAGAAGGGTCAACTTTCTTTTTCTTTCTTTTTTTCTTTTAACATTATTTATGTATCTCTCATGTCCCATATGGAAAGAAAAAAGTGTTTAATTTTGAATTTTTAATTTATATAGGCATTTATTGGCTAAATTATGCTAAATCTAGTAATAAATATGGTACCTGATATTTTCAAAGTGTAATATAATCAAAACTAGACGGTAAAAGTATTTCATATTTTACAAGATCAACCAATATACTTTTTTAAAAATTTAGGGAAACTTTTAAAACAGGCACTCATTTGGGTAAATTTTAAGAATTTTTTTAATTAGCCTCCCTAAGTAGAAAAATGGTCAGACATGTGGTAAAAATGGGTGGGGTAGGGTAACATTTTTATACAGATTTCATAAATTTTAAGTAGAAACCATAATTTTGCTTATGTGGATTGTTATCTGAATGGTACTATTTGTTTCTTGCCAAAAATTCATGGGAAAACATTTTTCATTAGAATGTTATTGCAGATTATTTAAAGGTTCCTCATTTCTAAAAAAGGGCCCTCATAACATCCTAGCTTGAATTCAGAAAAGTGGCCATAACTTGATTTCCGTACGGTAAACTTTGTTTAAATTTTGCATACAGGTGTACTTTAAGGTATACATCTGACCTATGAGTTCCTGATAGTGCCCATTAGGGTCCTAATACCTTAATATACAAAATAAAACAGATGTAGTTTATGAACAGCAAAACAAACAAGTCCAAATAAACAGACATTGAATTTTTGTGAAAATCAAAGCAAGGAAGTCTAAATAAACAATGTTTGTTTATAAGATGCAAAACAGTTTTCTAGAGAGTCTATGGACAGAGCCCCTAGCTGACAAAACTGAACAAGCTGTTATTTTATGACCTGGTGAGTCTGAGTAATTGCCATTTAACAACTTGTTGTGGAAGAAGTCATTCAACAAAAAAGGAACATCCATGATAACATTCTCAATATTGCAATTTTATAAGATCTTGAAATGTTCTTACATTTAACAGCTAATAAATCCAATGACTATATATTGACCTTATGCTCCGCTCGGGGCGAAGAGGATAGGTAAATCCAATGAAAATAATCACTATCACGCTATCACATCTATGCAACAAAAACAATCAAAACAGAACGAGACATGTTCTGTAATACCTTCATAATAATTATATTTTTATAATGAACATTTAAACTTGCTAAGGTAATAACAGTTCTTTATTTCATGCTTTCCGGTGTTCCGATGATTATATGCTAATAAACCACTAGTGAAATTTATAAGATATAATTTTCTCTTTAGCCGGACTAATAACTATCATAACTAAATGGAATAACATGCAGAAATAAATGTCTTCATACGAAAATTTTGCTTCTATAGGAACAAAAGTCATCATACATCATGTTTAAAATGTAACACAATTAGAGAAATTTAACAGAACAATATTTCAAAATTGATGATGTGACATCATGATGTGATGACGTCACAGAGGATATATGTGCGACACTACGTGGCATCCAGTAAAAATAGTTAAAATCACTTAAAAGCATGAAATAGATCTATTTGTTTTACATATAAGATTGAAATATATTTCATTCATGAACAACAGCTATTCTATTTTCACTTGTGGCTACGCCACTCGTAATATATTTCAATCTTACATGCAAAACAAACAAATATTGTCTATAAAGATCTTAATCCAGTTAATCTATAAAAAGAATCTTAAAAAGAGGTCCTTAAGGTCAAACGAAAATAAAGCAAATAGTTGATATAATTGCAGACTCGTTTTTATTTAGAGATGTGCATGAAAGATAATCATAATGTAATGCACTCCCTAGCACCGCCTTAATTGAGTGGAATTCAATCATCAAAACTGAAAGAAATGGAATCAGTATGATGAAGTATTTGAAAACTATTTACGACTGCCACACAACACTTGACACACAGGGGGAAGTCCCTCGAGAGTTTTGAAAACAATGCAAATAACAATTGCAGACTCGGTTTTATTTAGCCTGTTAGTCTATTCATAAGAGATAAAG